TATGAATTTACGTTTACATATATATCTCAGCTTCTACCGATTCAAATTAAATGAAATTTTAATATATTATAGATTGAGATTATATAAGATTATATAAAATTTGAACTAATTCTGATCAGTGCATCTTGAGTTATACAATATTAAACATGATGTTTGGAGACTTTTGGTGACCCTCTGTAGATACACCATATAATCTAGTTGTTTTCATATAACGGGTATCTATTTTATGCTCTAAATATTTCTTTAAACTCTTTCTGATATTCATATTATTTACCACTATATAATCTAACTACCACTTACCATTTAATCTAACTACCACCATATAATCTAAATATCACCATTTCCTTCTTATTCCTAATCTGTTTACACATTAAATTTTATATTGCTGGTACTGACTTCCAGTCTTTTTTGAATACCTGGTTTTTTAATGAGAATGCTGACACTCTGTGCCAGTTTAGTTACCAGTTCTATATTGAGAATGCGCACCTATTTGGTTACCATTCAGGATACTGAAATTGTGTAAAAAAAAGGTGACTGGTGGCGTAGTAAATTCATGATTAATTTCGGCCAACACTATGCTATAATTTGGCTAAATTTTTGAGCATATGATTTGGGAATCCAGCTTGGCACCATAGCAGTAATCTGATAGTATCATAGAACTATCGTGGAACTGACAGTGAATTGTCATAGAACTGTTATGAAACTATCGTAGAACTGGCAGGGAATTATTATAGAACTGTCATGGAACTGACAAGGAAGGCAGAGGTTCTATTAGTTCACCAGTTTTATGTAGCTTCTATGCCAGCTTAAATGCTAAGTTTTATGTCCAAAGTTTTGACTGAAATTATGGAATAGTCTTAGCTGATATTATTGTTAATTTACTGCACCTTTTTTTTCTAAAATGGGTGTTGCGAGAAAATACATATATTGTTAGGAGAATCATCTGATAGTATTCTTAGAGGGCTTAATGACAGGTGATTCTTTGCGCATATATTATTAATTTTCTGCGTCTAAAGTTTTTGTGATACTCTACACATTAATATTGTTAGAAGAATCATATGATAGTAATCCTAAAGGGCTCTGTGTCAGGTGATATTCTATTCACATATTGTTAGGAGAATCATATGATAGTGATCCCAGAGGGTTCGACGTTAGATGATAGTGTCAATCCAAAGATATTCTATTAGTTCATCCAGCATGAATGCTGAATTATTGTATCTAAAAATCTGGTCAAAATTATCGTTAACTTACTACGCTTAAATTTTGATATCATATGACTAGCCTCTAGTTTTTCCCTTTCCCATCACCTTCCCGCAACTTTTAAGGGATATTTAAGGAATATTTGAGTGGCATTTGGGGTTTGGGTTAGTGGATCAGTTGGTTAGAAAATTGGAGATGCCAACTTCATACTTCTTTTTGGTATACCTCTATATTACGCGAAGGCTATACTATACCTGAGTACATATCTAAAAAAATGAAGCCTTCTGCCATTTTTATATAATATAATTCTGCAGAAGGTTTCATTTCCAGATACATTTCTGTTTCCCTTTTATTTACAATTTGCTTACTAGATTACTATATGTCTCTTTTTTTTTCGAAGGACGAAAAATTTAATTAAACATTTCAGAAATATATTGTGATATAATAACTTTACCTACTGTTAACATACATACCTCAATTATTTTCGACTAAACTGATCACACTAGAACTGACTCTCTCACCCACTATGACGGTACCGGGAATTTGATAATGGGATGACCGCTATACTTCAACAAAGCCTATCTGGCAAGCAACCCATACATTTCATGCCTACTGAAGTTAGTGATAATACCCAATATGTAAATGGGTTCTCCACCTATATTTTGCGTATCACCAGTTCTTTGATTAATAGGCAAAATGCAATTGTGAATATTACAGGTATCCAACCCTTCTTTGATATCAAAGTGCTTAAAGTGATGCCGTTATCTATGTTTAAGACTAAATTAGTAAGGATACTATCTAATATTCTCAATAGCACATCAAAGTTTGGGATCGAGACTATTAGCGTTTTCCCACTTCAAGGATACCATACAGAAAAGAAACTATATATCTGTGTAAGAACATGAAACCACTATGACTGGAACAATACATTAAAAGCAGTTCGTGCTGTTAGAATATATACAGCCTCAGATGATCTAAACTGCCAGTATTATTACTGCAAAGTAGCTTGTGAAGAAAGATTACCTCTTTCAAGCTGAGCATTATTGAGTAATTATTCATACATACTGTCAAAAAATACATATCTCTTCCAAGTATCCGTGAATAATTACAATCCAATAAGCGATGACGAGTATAACAATCCGTTAATTTCTTTAGCCCTTTCACAGGATCCCACTCTCATTCTTACATGGGATATAGAAACATATAATTCGCTTAGACTAGGCAACTTCCCCACTGTACAAAGTAATGAATCCAATGTATTTATGATCTGCATGTCAGTCCATTGGAAAGATGATCCCAATCCATTAAAACAAATTTGTTTTGTTGATGTTGAAACTGCGCCAGACTCACGTTGGATCACAGTTGTATGTGAAAACCAAACTAATTTACTGAAAGTATTTGCATTATATTGGAAGAATCTAGCCTCAGATATACAAATAGGTTTTAATGATTCACAATATGACTGGAGATTTATTGTAGAGAAAGCGAAAAAGTTAGGGGTTCTCGAATAAATGTTCAATCAAATGTCATTAAAATCTTTGAGTCTCGAAAAAATTTCAAAATAGCAATATCAGTATAATAAGATAAAAGTTAATGATAGGAATTTCCATTCGAAACATCTTAAATCTCCGGATGTGTAGCTATTGATGTCTGACCATGTTTTATGAAATTCTATCCTAAGGCTGAAAGAGCAGTTTAGCATATTACCTAAAGGAGTGTAGACTTGATAACAAGCTGGATATGTCTTTCTAACATATGTTTAAGTATTATAGAAGAGCGTTAAAAGAAACCAATGCTACAACGGCCAAGCAGATGTGTGAAGTAATCGAGTATTGTATTATCAATGCTATTAGCTATCAGCGATTAATGGTAAAGCATAATGCAATTAACGAGTACAGAGAGGTGGCATCTGTAGCCTTCATATTATTATATGATTCACATTATTTTGCAGTAGGAATGAAAGTGCGTAATCTTTTAAGTGTTGGTGCATGATGGGAAGGGATTTTAACTAGCACAATTCCATGTGAACAAACGGAAACAGGAAAGTACCCTAGGGCCTATGTTTTCCCACTGGTAAAGGGTCTCAAAAATAGACGACCTGTAACTGGTTTAGACTTTGCATCATTATATCCAAGCCTTATCATGATATACAATCTCTCACCTGATAAAATCATTTTATCTTGAGAGCGTGCTAAATCTTTAAAGGAAAGCGGTAAAAAGCTTCATGAAATTAATTTCAAATTTAATGGTTGGGATGTTCTTGCATGGTCTATAGAGCATGGAAACCAAATCGAAATAAAAGGCCTTTATCCAAAAGTATTAGAGGAGTTGCTAATTAGACGAAATTCACTAAAAAGATGTCTTACTCCATTAAAGGATAAAAAGAAGAATTAGAAAAGGAGATTAGTTTGGCAGAAGCAAGAGGCGAGGATGATACAGATGCTTTAAAATCTGAATACTCTTCAGTTTCCTTTAATGTCGCCTGTTTAGACATAAAACAACTTGCTTTAAAAGTGTATATGAATACGTTTTACGGTGAAGCTGGGAATAGCAGGTCTCTTTCTTCTTGTGAGCATTAATAAGCGGGGTAATATCAGCTGGTCAGCGGAATATTAAGCTTATTGCCAATCTTGTCAGAGGTTCAGTGTAAAATACGGGAATACCGATTCATTATAACTTGTTTGTCTAGAAGAATATTTTCGGGAGTGTGATGAAAAATTCATTTCAGAAAAGATATCAAAGGAAAAGTACTGGGAGGAGATGGTGAGAATATCTATGAAGGCAATGAGCGAGCTCCGAAATGATATTAATGACTTTCTCAGGGAAGGTAATGGATCAACTTATCTTAATATGGTGTATGAGGAAGTCTTATTTCCAGTAGTATTTACTGGAAAGAAAAAATACTATGGCATTCCGCATAAAAACAAGCTGAACTTTAATAATAAGCTTTTCATCTGGGGAGTTGAGACTGTAAAGCGAAAACAGTCTAGTGTTTTCCGCAAAATAGGAAAACATATTATGGAAGAATCTACGAAGATAAACAATATACGTACCTTGCATCGGGTTGTAGAGGACGTGCTCAAAGAGACTGTAAGAGATATTTCACAGACAGATCTTAATGAAATAATAAAAACCACTGTGTAGAGGCCCGATAAAAATAACAAGAGTGTATAATGCTTCATTTCATGAATGTGAGATAGATATACCCGTGAAGAGGCAGATGCTAAATGGCTCATAAAAAAGGGCTCAGCACCCGAACCTTATCTTTATAAAATCCCAGAACCAGACAAGCAGTTTGAATATGTTGTAGTTGAGAATGATTCATCACAGAAGGTAGGTGACAAAATGGAATACCTAGAAGTGGCAAGATGTCTTAATAAAAAGATTGATATTAACTATTATCTGAAAAGCATTATCAGGCTCTGTGCATGATTTATAAACTATGATGATAAATATCAGCCATCATCTGAAATTGTGCTGGAAGCCTTAAAAGAGTTAAAAGATGGTAATAAAGCAGGTGATAATAAAGCGGATGACGGTGGAGTAGATGAAGATGATAATCTGGATAAAGACAAAGAGGATGAAGACGCAATGGATGAAGATAAGATATCAAAAATAAGAGATGCCTTAGCGCAGAAATTGGCTGAAAAGTGGGTTAGAGGCTATATCAAAAACCTTCATGAAGGCTCGAAAAAGATGAAGCTATCATATCTCATCTATGGAGAAGAGCTCGCATTTACGCAAAAAAATTATTTGATACTACTTATGCTGACAAGGAAGAACATATGGCTAACAATACTTATTACCAATCATTCCTCAATGCGCTAGATAAGTAAGAAGAATCTATCTGCTTAAAACTTTCATCATTGCTTAAAGAAATTTCTGAGGTTGATATAGAGTATAGAGACAGTATGTATAAATTAGTTACTAAGAAGCGAGTAATCTCATTAGAATAATATTTAACATCATATTATTTGGATGAGTGTAAGCTATTAGCAGGTTTCTGAAACACATGATACAAAATGGTTGGTTTAGAAATCACACGCTATCGAACGTTATCGAAGTTACAGGATGACAAAAAGGATAATTCATCTGAAGTGGATATAGATGAAATTATTGAATTATATTGTTAAGTATTCTAGCGGGATGTGACAATTTCAGTTAAGAAACTTATAATATTATTTATATATATTTTTTTCTCGTTCAATAATACTGGTTAACTTCAATTCCTATATTCGATCTTCTTGCTTCTGATCATATAGCCCAACCTTGGAAATATCCAGAGATGATAAAAAATAGTTCCAGTTATGAGAATATTCGGTATTACTTTTTTTCCATGAATTCCATATTTTTTTTCCAACGATCCATATAATTGCAAGAAGTAGTAAAGTAAGTATGGTATATGTTATCAATAGTGACATTAAGGGACTTACAACGACAAGGATAGCTGATGCAATCCCAGAGGGATCTGCTAGAGGCATTACTTCTGCACTACCTAATTGCTTCGCAACTTCTTCACTCGAAATATACTTTTCAGAATATGCTGGTCGACTATGAACGGATTGATTGGATCGGGTATCTGTCTGGCTTCTCGAAACTATCTCATCTGGAGGTAATAGCTCTTGCAGAGCCTCTAATACATTTTTTCTAGCAAAACTTTTATCAAATTCTATAACTTTATTTTCAAGACCGAGCTCATAGACGAGAGGTTTTAAATCATCACTGAGCTAACCTGGTAGCTTTTGCATTGAATCATTCATAGGCGGAGGTGGGGGTAGAAAGCTCTGCTATTTCATTATCTTTTTTTGAGATTATCTCTCAAAGACAAGAATTTTTCTCCATTGAATTTAATCACGCTGAAGACAAAGCATCTATTTCCCATTTGAATATGTTATTTGATGACTCTATCCTTTTTCTATACATTCCAATTCGTATTTTTTTAAAGATAAATTATCCCTTGTTTGTTCCAATTCAAGTTTGAGGGAATCCATTTCAGATAAGTTCATTTGAGCTAAGGAAGAATTCTTTTCCAATGCTTTCAACTTGAATTGGAAGGCTTTTATCTCTTTTGATTTTGTAATGAGTTTGTTTTTAGAATCTGCAAGAGAAATATCTTTGTGAGTAATCTGAAAATTTAAAGAATCCATCTCTGATCATAGTTGTGACATTTCATCTATAAGCTGATGAATGCGGTCGAAGAGTTTCCTATTATTGGTCTCAGCTTGTTCTAGATTATGATGCAATTTGGCTTTGTCTCGATCATTTCTTTTACTATAGCTTGAATACACCTCCTGCATGTTATTATATTCATTGGTAAACTCGGAAATGGATTTGATACTATTACACAACATCTTCTCAAGTTCTGTTTTACGAGCACTACCCAGGCGATGACCTGAACTAATATCTTTCAGGGTATGCACATTTCTCATATTTTACGCCTGATTATAAAGCAATAAAAAAAGATAAGCGTAACTAAAAATCCATCCTTTGTTTTTTTCCTATAACTATTTTGGTTAAGACTCTCGATTGAAATTTTAGTCATGGGGATTGAGAATAGTATTTTTTATCAATATGAAATAATAAATATCATTTTCCATCGTTTTTATTATTTTTTAATGTTATAAATACGATAAATATCATTTTACGTCATTCTGTAACGTTTTATATCATTTTATATCATTTTATATCATTTTCTATCATTTAAAAATAATAAATATCGTTTAAAAAAATATCATTTTTTATTGTTATAAAATTACTAGAAGAATTGCATAGCCAACCCATTTTACAAACTCATTATCATCGAGGCGCCACTGATTTGACGCCTAAGCAAATCGAAGAAATTAGGCATCTCAAAAATAAGGTTCTTACATATATGATAGTGAGGGATTATCATATACGTAAAGAGCATATTCATTATATATGGAACAATTGTGAACGATCACAACAGAGTAAAAAGTATGAATTGGCAGAAATTCTTAGTACAGACAAAAAAGCAAAACTTCATACCCCTGATTCATCTCCAGTACATGAGTCGGCTCGTTTGAGCCAATTGCAGGATAAGCAAAAAAAGAAAGCATCAGGGTCTAAGTCTATTTGTGTTTCTGATAATTCATCAGAAATAGTAGGTGGAGACTTAGAAGTAAAAAAGATACAATAGATATATCACCTGGATCGTCTCCTAGCCAATCACTTATTATTTCGCAAGATTCTGGAGATGTTTCAGAGATGTTTAAGAAAGTAAATATTGAAATGAAAAAGGTTAGGACAAAGGTTCGCACTATTACATCTAAATTGGCAACTGGGACTTAGCCTCATGTTTATACAAATCATTATAGTACCCTATAATTTCCAAATTCGTTTGGATACTGGTAAATAGCATTTTTTCGAGCTCCTCATAACTCACTTTTTTTTAATATATCATTCTCGCTTAAGTTCTGTGAGTTCTGCGAAATACAGTCTGGGGTCAAGGAATCATTACATTTAGGAGTGGTGGTCGCATAGTTCACCTCGAGCTTGTTTTTGACCTTATGCATATTAATTGGGATAAAAAATTCCTTACTATTACACTCTAGTCTTAATTCTCACTTTGATGCAAGTAAATCATAATTATATTTATCGAGAAGTGTGTTGAGTAAGATCAGCATCGGCTTAGGATATTTAACTATAGCTAAAGATGTTACAGCAATTGATTTCAAATTTACAAAATGTTGCAACATAAGCTAAAATTAGTTGCAACATATGTTGCAACATTATAAGTTGCAATATATATAGGTTAAAACTAATTGCAATGTAAGTTGCAACATTAAAAGTTGCAACATATTAATTACAGTTCCTATCTTTAACTACAGCAAAATCAGCATATATAGTACATCTGAAAGCAAAATTTACTGGGACATTTCTAACAATTCCAAGCGACTCTGTGGGAGTAGTAGCAATGCCTCTGAAATCATGCTTTTCTTTTGTATCAATTACTAGCTTTGATTGTTTAGATATGTTCTCAGACATGATCGGAAAATTAGCATCAAGATCAACTGTACCTGCTGGAATCACTAGACGCTTAATTTTACACTTAACAGTGACAACATCTGTGGCAGGTTCTTTTCTTTGGATAAAGTCTATCTCCATAGGACCATCAATAAACTCGTCATCCAAATCTTGAGTGATGGGCTCACACTTTTTAGCCTGCTGAATTATGTATGGAAGATAATTCTCAAATTTGATCTGAATGATTTTGCGGATAGTTTCTTTTAAAGAAACCTGCTTAGTACCTTGGTTATCTTTCTTTGATAGGGCATTGTATGCAGAAGATGTATTAATTTCTTGCTTTTCCTTATGAAGCTCAGATTTATTAGAGACCTTAGACTTTGAGGATTTATTAGGATACTCACATTGCTCAGCATAATTTACTTTTTTTTTTCATGAGTTATGTAAACATTCATATCACGTTTTTCGGAGTCTGAACCAGCTGATGAATTATTTGAGTTATAATCATTATCCTCGGGTTTTGATGTATTATCATCAGAAAAAATGGGATCAGATTGTTCATCTACTATAGCCATATGAACTCGACCACTTCTGGATTTGGAATCTTTAGCAAGTTTAGCCAATAAGACTTCAATTTGTCCTAATCTTTTTTCCAATCCTCCAAAAGGTGAGGACTCTGGACGTTAACGCTGAGGTGTTTTGACACCTTTAGTATCTTTTCTGGCAAATTTGGCTAAGTGAGTTTCAATTTGTTCTAATCTTTTTCCAATCCTCCATTATTATAGTCTGAGGATTCTGAACACCGATACTAAGCTGATTTGGTATCTTCTCTTATGAGTTTGGTGAGTTTTGCTAAATTAATTTCGATTACTTCTAATCTTTTTTCCAATTCTTGATTAAGATAACTATCAAAGATTGAAGCATTATTCGAATTAACTACATTTTCTGGCAGCTGTAAATGTTAGACAAGTTTAGAATGCATCTGCATTGATTCCGCTAATTGTGCTTCCAAAGAAGCTATTTTAGAATTTAATTTTTCAAGATCAGCCAAAGTAGCTTCCTGATAACTGACTTGGGGTTAGATTTGGTTCTGGAAAAACATATTTGGTCCAACTTGACATTCTACCCAATACTTCCTGAGATCAGCAAAGAAATTATCTATAGTTTGATGTCCTGCACCTCTTATAGCTATATATATTTTCACACTATTACAAAGATCTGGAGGTAAGTGAGTATATAATGCTGGTAATACCTGGTCATCCGCAAACCTACTATATGTTTTCAGATTCTAGATTCATAAACATCAGGAGAATCCGTTGAGTGGTTAAATCTTTCTTGTATTAATGACTGTACAGCTAATTCAGCATTTTCAGCCATCACTTCTCGATATTTATGCCGAAGCCAAACAGTAAATATAACAAGTGTGTTGATAGGGGATTACCACCTATATAGGGATCATTTGCTAATACTGGAGAAAATTTATCTCACATTTTAGATTTTAAGATATCACATTTTTGTATATCAACAAAAGTGTTTGCATTAGCATTGTTGGCAGCCGTAATTATAGCACCAGCAGATTCAAAGATATTTGTAATTTTTTATATATACTTATCTGGTGTTTCTCTACCTATATAGTTAGGAATTTGCCTAAGAGAAGGGGTTAGCATCTGATAAATTTCATGAACAACGACCATATGATGTATATTAGGCGGGTTATTTTGTAATACTAAAATTTGTCCTTGCAAATTTAAAATATTCTGGTCTCTCTGCTTAACCATTAGCTGGAAAACAACTTTTTCACGTAGCAATTCACCAATACGGTGTTGTTTTCTCGCTATAATGACTAACATTCTATTTACCTAGTTTTGAGCATTAGTCTACAATTGTCGGGTATTTTGTTGAAGGTGGTTGACATTTCACTAATACAATAGCTGTTTAGCAAATTTTTCTCATAATAATTCTTAAACACATCTATTTTTATCCCGATATGAGAAATGCCAGCGACAAGATTCTTGTCTCTCATTATGGTAGGCCAACACAGTCAAGTTTCGCTCTTCTTGAGCATTATCTCTTTCCCTTATAACTGTATCCCTTTCTCTCACAGTTCTTTCAACCTGAACTTAGGATTCATCTAATAAACGTTGTAACCATAAATTCTGATTTTCACTATCATTAAACTGGTTTTTAAGATCATCTACTCGCTGAATTGATTTATGTAATAAGTTCTGATATTGATCACGCTCAGTTGTAATATTTTGCAAAGTAATCTAAATAGTATTTAACGAGCCTCTCATTCCATCTATAACATTGGTAGGATTCTGCATAAGCGTACTGATACCTCTAATATGATTTTCTATCTGATCTAGTCCTCTAATAACATTTGCGATAAGATTAGTTGTTGCCATATCTAAAGCATTTATTGAGATTTTTTTATCTATGAGAATCCTAATCCTTGCTTTAAGACTCCCAACCTTATTTTCAAGTTCTATGATTCGGTTATCTTGAATAGATGCTATTTCCTCTTTGAATTTTTTATCTTGCTGTAATGCCTTAAGTTGTTTTTACAGACCGGTTATTTGGCATTTAAGTTCTTTAATCTCTTTTTCATAGGCTATGATAGTATTATCCTGTAATAAGATAGTTCGATAATATTGCTCAAGCTTCTTTACGAGAAAGTGAATTTATTTCTCGTTACTTTTATTAATAGAAACTTCATCTTGAAGCTCACTACGAAGCTCCTGGTTTGTATCTAAAAGCTGTAAATATGCCAGATCAAGCATAGTATTTCATCTAATTTATAGTAGCATCATAATAATCCTTCCTTTTCTTCGCTAGTCGTTCAGAAAAGTCAAAGTATACAAAATTTCAGTCACATGATTTGGGCAAACCAGTTCGCTGAAATTTCTTGGCATTTCTTAGCATTTTTTTCTTTTACTTCTGGGATAGGTATTTCTTTTTTTTGAGTTTATGAGAAAAAGGAAGCAGAATGAGTCAGCCACAAATTGTGATAGATCTATTTAATGAGATTGTTCTTATCTGTAGGCTTCTATATTATAATATACCAGGTTTTTACACCAATGTGAAAAAATTACATCAAGAGAAAGGATATTCTTTTCAAATACAGGATATTACAAAATAGTTAAAACACTAATATAATTATCAAATCTATCGACAGCCATTATCTTATAAAGCTGAGGCAAGTTTTTCAAAGATTAAAATTCCAAATAAAGTCTATCAATGTGATATATTGCTCTACACTTATGATCAAGATGGTGGATGAGTATTTGTTTGTACTCTTCTAGTTATCGATGTGGCAACACATTTTAAGGAAGAACGCTCACTAACATCAAGAAATAGCTTAGAAATCTGGATTGCGATTAAAGATATCTGCGAGGATTCTTCTAATCTCCTTACATAGCCAAAATTATTAATGACTGATACTTTATTTCGAAGTGCATTTTCACGAGGAATGCAACAGTATAATGTCCCAATACATGTTGTTGACCTTTATAGTTTTAAGAGCTTGGCTTTTATTAAAGCACTTAAGAAAAGAATAGCAATATTAACATATAAGGTCCAATATACTATAGAGAAACTATTAACCGATAGGGAGCGATCAAGGATATTTAAGAGAATCCTTAAGAAGTATATTGATTATCTGAATAACAGTAAGACTCACCTTATTATAATGTCACCAGCTCGAGCTATGACTTTAGAAGAAGTTGAATCAAAGCCTTATAAAAAACCTAAGCGTGCAATCAGAAAAGATGAGGAGATAAAATTACAAAAAGGCACAGCGGTTAGATATCTGTTAAAAGCAGGTGATTTGGAAGGAGACTATAGACATAGAGCAACCAGAGCTTGCATATATTCAAGATTAAAAGAGTCATTATTAGAAGAAATCCATCACAACTAGTCTTATATTATCTCGAGAATAAACCTATCAAATCTACTGCTCATCTGATAGGACGAAACCCCAAAAGACCTTTTAAATATGAGGAACTTCAAGTAATTGAAGAACCTGATAAGATTGAATACACACCTGATGAATTTATACGAAAATATCATCATACTGGATTTGTTCACTTCACTCAAATTGCTGATAATATGCTAATAAAAGCACATGAATATGCCTCTCGGCGTGGTGGTCAATGTCTTGGAAAGACTGGGCAAATAAATGGTTATAATATATATCTTTGGTCTTGCAAAAATGGTGCGTATCAATGGGAGTATCCATTAAAGTATATCATGAAAAAATTTGAATAGTGTCTTCTTTGTCATCATAGAAGTAATAAATGCTGATATCAATATATTTTTGAGGATCTACTAGGTAAAAAATTCCCATCACATAGGCCGATTCTTTTAAATGGGATGCAACTTGATTGGTATAATGAGGAATTGTAACTAGCATTCGAATTTTATGGTCGGCAACACTATTCTCTTAATTCAATGTTCCATAGAAGAGGGGAGATATATTTGGATGAACAGAGAATGCGTGACCAGAAGAAGCGAGATATTTGCAAAGAGCAAGGTATATGCCTAATCAAAGTTCTGTATACCGCTGATTTATATAATTTTATTAGACATACACTAATCGAAAAAAGATATTTGGATGATGCAAGTGTGTAAAGCAATCTAAAAATTGGGCAGATCATTTATTGCCAGAACTTGAAAAATTGTTACATTATTTTTTGATACAATAATTAGTTAGATCAAATCATGAAATACGTAATATTCACAGTAAATGAAGTCAAGTTCTCGAAAAAGTATCAGGATGATCCTCATACACCGTCATGCAGTGTTGTCATGGGACTTGAACACAGATATGGACTGTCCGATCCCAGACTGTCCTTCGGACATGGACATAAAATTTTGTGTTCGAGACATTTGGGACAAATTTATAGGCATTATATACTTTTAATTGGCTGATCAATGATAATCATCATGTGAAATCCA